TCTTAGCACTTTAAAGCAGAATATTATGTCGGATCAGTTTTACAATTTCTTCCTACAGTGGAGTCAAAGGGACTGAACTTGAAGTGCCAGTGTTTTCAGGGTGTAGCTTCTGATTTATTCATATTTATTTGTTTAATTTAATTATCGAACACATGTGGTGTTCAGGGCTCACACCTGGTGGGGCTCAGGGGACCACAGGCATTACCCAGGTCTGTGTGCAAGGCAAGCATCCTGCCCAGGGTGTCTCTCTGGCTCCTAGCTCCTGGTTTTAGACTTCTTCGCGCATTTGAAATGCAGTCTTTGAAATGAAACAGTCTCCAGTGACCCGATATACTTGTTTTGGGTCAAACTGCTCTCTCCACTCAGTCGCACTGCTGTGGGCCACCTGTTTCCAGGTAGGTGATACAGATGGGGATTGGGGACATTTATGTTTGCTGAAGCAGCTGGGTGATATTGTAACTGAGCAATACTCAGAAGCAGCTATTTCTAGCTTTCACCTGAGCAAACACTTAGTTTGTTGACCTGAATTCATCCAGCCCTTTCTTGAATAGACAAACTCTATTAATTTTTAGAACCACACTGGTCTCTAAGTAAGGTCTTCATCACATGGACTTCTTAGCTATTTCAAAGGTGGCAGATGATTTTTGATTCTTCCACTGTGTCTTTCTCTTCCAAGACAATCTTTCATGCTTCTCTTTTCTTAACATTTGAAGATGAAAATCAAATCTCTTTTGATTTTAGACACTGTTGTCTAAACCAAGCAGTCTAGGTCATAGTTAGAATTGACTGCAACCAATATAAATGCTTCTCCACTAGCTCCAAGCATTTTTGTTCAGTTTACTTTGATGTGCTGTTTTTACATAAAGAAACACCTGTGGATTCATTGTTAGTTGGAGTAGGAAGTTGGCATGTGTTGTAAAAACATGACGCCCCCACCGCCACCCCACCACCCACAATATATTTACTGCCCTTTCTGAAAGAAAATCAAAACATCTGTTTACTTTTCAAACAATACAAGTGTTTTGTTCCTTGAGTACTACTAGAAGCATTGAAAATGTTGAATTATCTTCATGTTTTTAAGTTATGCAAAAGGTTTTGGGGACTGGAGGACTAATTTATTCAAGTGAGGGAAATCATTTGTGATTCTCATAGCAAAGCTTGAGATGTACTTGTGGCTTTTCCAAGTTCGTTGCCATGATCTTTATGAAAATATTAGTATTCCTGGGATTTTTTTTCTTTATGTCAAAAACACAAGACTAATGAAAGAATGAAAATAACTCAGGCCTCTACAAAGACAGGCGTTCACTGTGTCCATTAAAAATGCAGCCTTTGTGCCCATAAAGTGTTCAGCTTCTCTGTTATTAAGTTTGGAATGTGGTTTTGGAGCTTAGCTGAAGAACTCAGCTAGTTATGTTTCATTTTGGTCTACGGAGGGAAAAATTTGTTTTTCAAAAGAAAAAAGGAAAAGAAAAGAAATACAGAAAAGGTTACGTTCCTGTTGAAAGAATAGAAGTTTTCAAATGTCATAACTATTTTCTGCAGCAAATAGTCAGTTTGAGGATGTTGACCAAAAATAGAATTCATGACTTTTGTCTCTCTGTTTATTTGTCCAACCACATTAAAAAGGGTTTAGTTGAATGTGTCATTTAGTGTTTCAAATGTCAGCTGAATCAAGATAACCGAAGTTTGATTGATGCACATTTCTAATAATAAGTGAGGAGTCTGATTTTAGATGACTTCATTGTAAATTGGCGATCCCATTTTGAGTTTTAGAGAAAAACTTTCTGGCTCTTCCCCCCTTCCCCCCCCCTCCCCCCTCCCCCCCCCTCCCTTCCACCATGGATTAGTGGTGATTCGGAGTTACAGTGTTCAAGAGCCTTTCTACTAGAGTGTACTTGTGCTGTGTTTTCTGGTGACATTAAACACTGACCGTTTTCTGCTAACATAACATGTCACTTGAAATTTATCATTAAGATGTGTATGGAAATGTGCACTTAAGCCTTGGAAGTGGCGCCAAATATTAATAATACACACTTTAGCCTCAAAAACGAAGTTCTTCATATATATTCTTCTATATTGCTTTGTGACATTTGTTACACAAAGAGATCATTTCTGCTCATGAAAGGTCTGAAAGCACAGTATGCCATGTGTTTTGTGCACAGAATTAAAAAATTTAAACCATACACATAAGCCATCAAGTTATAATGTTTTCCCTTAACTACTTTTAGAGAAAAAAATTTCATGAGTACATTTCAAAATATATTTTTGTGCTAATAAGGGGTTCCCATGAAGTAAATGGAAACATTTTAGTAGACTGTTAAAATGCACTCCAGTGAAGGGAAGCCCAAATCATTGTTCTTGGTGGGTGAGGAAATGAAAATTTGGGAAGGGATTCTGACTGGTTCATGTTAATTTGTGTTTGTAATGGAGCGATAGCACAGCGGGTAGGGCGTTCGCCTTACAAGCGGCCAACATGGCCGACCCGAGTTCGATTCCTCCGCCCCTCTCGGAGAGCCCAGCAAGCTACCGAGAGTATTCGATATGCCAGACACAGTAACAACAAAGTCTCCAATGGAGACGTTACTGGGCCCGCTCGAGCAAATCGATGATCAACGGGAGGGCCTTTACCTTTACCTTACCTTAATGTAATTTCAGCGAAAATTACAGCAAAAAAACCCCTTAAATTTGAAGTGAATTTGATATATTTATTCTGTTACTCTATACAGACTTTGCCATATTTAAAACAGTGTGTTGGGGACTTCAGTTGGCAATCTAAATCACAGAATAGAAAGATCTTCCAGAAAATCTTGTTGGTGCACATAAGTCAAAGGTGATGACTTACCTATAGTAACAAATAAGCATATTTCACTTAGTCACTGTCACTGTCACTGTCCTCCCATTGTTCATCTATTTGCTCAAGCGGGCCCAGTAACGTCTCCATCATCAGATTTTTTGTTGCTGAGTTTGGCATATTGAATACATCCCAGGGAGCTTGCCAGGCTCTGCCGTGCGGGCGAGATACTCTCGGTAGCTTGCCGGGCTCTCCCAGAGGGGCGGAGGAATTGAACTTGGGTCAGCCATGTTGGCTGCGTGCAAGGCAAACGCCCTACCTGCTGTGCTATCGCTCCAGCCCATTTCATTTAGTACAAGATATTAATTTTTAATAAAGTAAGGACTGGAGAGATACTATAGCAGGCAGGGTGCTTGCTTTGCATGCGAGTGACCAGGGTTCAATTACTGTGAGTGGAGTAATTCCTGAGTGCAGAGCTAGGAGTAAACCTTGAGCATCGTTGGGTTAGCCCCCCAAAACAAAGCAAAAAAAATTTTGGAGGAATAAGATAACAAAGTAAATACTCATTTTACTTCATTTTTTAGATGGGTTAAATACTTAAATATTTTATCATTAAATTATGAAAAATATCTAAAAGCAATAAAGGTGACTGTTGGATTTGAAATTCTCTCTAAGTACCAAAACATGAAAAAAACACAAATAAAACAGCTTATATAAAATCTCGCACTTCTATATTAAGATGTGCCTTAAACAAATTTCAATGATACGTGGGATATCTAAATTACTATTAGGCAAGACTTTATTCTCATTTCTTGAGTTCTAAAACCAGTGTAGTGTAATTAAATTTCATTTTGTATACCTCTGTAAATTTAGTGTATTATTATTTTCAGTTTGTAGTTGAAAAAGATTTTGAGTATATAGAAATATTTATAGTATGGTGCCTGATATTAATTTTCTATTTTTCATATGCACAAGGGCAATTCTGAGTACTTATCATATGCTAACTTGTTTCATGTAAACAGTGACTCAGAAGTAGGTACTATTATTATGGCCATTTAAGAGACAATAAAACTAATACACAAACAAGTTTAATAATTCACCCCAAACTTTGCTGGTGTGGACTAGAGAAGAAACAATTAGGAGAGAGAGCGCCAGAATTTGACTCTAGACCAGGCAGATGGACAGAATCTGTGTACCGCTGTTTCTTGAAGAGGGTAAGAAGAAAAAAAGCTATAAGACTATGTATATGGTGGTACCCTTTTCTCAAAGTCTGTGCTAGTACAATAGGTATTTTTGAATTGTACAATTTAAGTATAATTTTTTATCTAATTACACACAGAGAGAAAACAGAAATCTGATACAGTTCTAATAGTGGTTACTTCCCTCTAGTGGGACTTTGGATAAGTGTTTGAGCTTTAGAATTTCTTTTTTTCAAATATTCTAATGAGTCATGTCACTGTTTTATAATCACCATTTTATAATCACAAAAGAGCAGTTTTCCTAATCTGTATTTCAAGTTTGTCAACCCCTTTGGATCCCCTTGGAAATGCATGGGTCACATTGGAAAGTCCTTTTGAAGTATCTGTGTTTGGATTCCCTCCCTCTGATGAATACTTCACTCAGTAGGACCCTACAGACTATATATTGTTTTCTCTCACTTGAAAGTAATGCTGTAGAATTTGAGAGTTATGAACCATAGAAGTAAGCAATCGTGGTTGAACCTTAGAAATTAGCTAGTTTCTCAAATGAGGATCCTGACATTCCTGTAGATTTAACCAGCTTACAGAAGATGAGGCCACAGTAATTTGATTGTAGGTCCTGACTGAAAACACTGTTTTCCAAAGGACTGGTGCACCCAAACCCTCTGGGAGGTGGACTGGTGCACCCAAACCCTCTCGGAAGTACAGTAGATTGTTGTGCTATTTGTTTGGAGTGAAGAGGTAACTGAACAAAGTGGTTACAAATAATATTATTTCAGTACATCACAGTAGCCCAAAGGAGAATGCTCCTGAGGACGCATTTTGGTACTTACAGAGGTCACCATGGGTACCTTGCCTGGATGTGGGAAGATCCCTAACTATTGCCTCTCGTGGATTATAAAATCAATCTGAAAACAGAAAACAGAGAGGTGAAAAGATTATTAGCCAGAGAGGAGCACTTTTCAGTGGATGACTTTTCTAGAACTTAAAACCTTTTCTTCTCTTTTCAGCTCCCGGGCCAACATCTGCCGTGTCTTACATGTCTGTCAAGTGTGTGGATGTCCTCAAAAACCATCACAAAACAAAATGGTTTATGCCTTGGGGACCTAACCAGTGCAACAAGATCCGAGACATCGATGAGGCCTTTAAGAGGCAAATCGAAGCCAATGACATTGTGTTTTCGGTCCACATTCCGCTCCCCAAAATGGAGATGAGTCCTTGGTTTCAGTTCATGCTGTTTATCCTGCAGCTGGACATCGCCTTCAGGCTGAACAACCAAATCAGTAAGTTCATCACCCACTCCTCCCTTTCCTCCTACCTTGGGGAGGGCAGGGTGACATTTCTCTTTGGGGGCTTCTTGCAGAGCCAGTTATGGTAACAGTAACTGATACTCATTGGGCCAGTCGACAGTCATTGACGGTATTGTTGTGAAGACTTTATATGTTTGGCACGTTTTCTCTTTCCATGCATTCTCTGCAGGTAGGCCTTATTGTCTCATTTTATACATTGAAATCTAAAACATTAGGAAACTGCCCAAGATCAAACATCTAGAGAGAGCAGAACCAGATTCAAATCCAGGAAATGTGACTACTGTAAGTCTTGCCCAAACCACCATCACCTCTCTCAGGTCACAGGAGCCTCTGCTTGTGCAATGATGTGAGGATTGCTACATAGGTCCAGGGTTCAACAAATATCTTTTCCATCTGGACAATGAGAAAAATGATCACCTTCGAAAAAAATCCGTCAAGTGGGAACCAGTGGTGTCGGAGCTCTCTTGGCCCACAAAACTAGGTTCTGTTCTTTAGCTTGCCAGTGATGATTCAGGTTTTCAGGACGTAGGACATTTCAGCATGCTGTGAGATGATAGGGGCTTTCTGAGCTACCTGGACCCTCTGGGGACAGTCCAGGACACCTTAGCTTGAGGAGGAAGCGATCGTTTCTTTTCTGCTGCAGCAGGCTCAAGGGTGAAGGGGGTGGGGGGTGAAGAAATATGTACTTGGGAGTAGTCTGTGCATTGAAGCCTGGGTGGAGATGAGGAACAGATGAACTAATCTACTGAGACTTGTGGGTGAAGATCAAGCACACTGCATTTTATTCTCATGGCTACTTAGCTGGGCTGTATCTTTGAACTCCAAGTATGAAGGAAGAGCTGGACTCTTGTGCTCAATGTGAAATAATCGCTGACTGCTGACTGTATTCAGCCTAGGGAATAAGTGACCCTAAAATTGAGCAGATGAAACACACAAACAGGCATCATCTCTCATTTCTTTGGGGCTCAGATTGGGGATCATCCTGGATAGAGCCTGATAGTACCTTCTTGATTAATATCAAGCTGTGGTGGATCTGCAATTGCTTGGTGGAGACCAGAAAGGATGTGAATATGTAGACTAAAGAGGTAGAATCACAATCAGAACCATCCTGTTGTTTGTCGATTGCCTCGAGCAGGCCCCAGTAACGTCTCCTTCATCCTAGCCCTGAGATTTTTTTAAAAAGTGCCATACTCAAGGCTCTTTCAGGGTTAGAAGAATGAGACCCATCATTGTTAAAGGTATTTGGCATATTGGGTACGCCACGGGGAGTTTGCCAGACTCTGCCATGTGAGCAGGTTACATTCTGTAGCCTGCCAGTTTGTCCAAAGTAAGAATGAGATAATAAGATGTTGCGCAGCCGCACGCTTCCGGGAGCTGGGTTTTATAGTCTCTGGGTCTTGGCCGTTGATGGGATTATACGGCGCCAGGGGGCCAGTTGGTGGGTGTGACCCCTGCCTACTGGAATATGGAGGATCTGGGAGGAGGATGCTCAGCCCCGATCCAAGCAGGCTTGGAGATCTTAGCCCCGGGACCTGCATGCCTTTGTTCCTCTCCATATTCCAGTAGGCAGCGGTCACACCCACCAACTGGCCCCCTGGCGCCGTGTAATCCCATCAACAGCCAAGACCCAGAGACTATAAAACCCAGCTCCTGGAAGAGAACAGCGCAGAGTCTCCTGCCCCCGCGCCTGGCTGTCCTCGCAGGGGCCCCTTGGAAGGGAGTGGGTTGAGTTTCCCTCCCCACCCCGACCAGGGGTCTGGCAGCCGAAGACCTCCAGAACCAGCCACCACCATGCTGAGACCACTCTGCACACGCATGAAGGTACTGGCAGAGGAAGAGGTAGAATAGGTGAATCTATATAGGCAGGTCAGCTGTGCAAGGTAAGAACTCAAGTGGAAAGGCCTCAGGTGTGCACCTCATCATGCATTCTGAGCAGAAGAATGAACAGACTACGGAAGAAACTCCTACTTTGATCCCTGTCTCTTCTCAAATGCAGTTACTAGGGAAGGTAGAATGGGAGGTGAAGGGGATCCAAGGCCTCCAGACTGGCAGACCTGGATCCTCTGTGACCCGTGTCTCACCTCTGGGCTCCTACTGACCAGCGTCAAAGTTTGAGATAAGAGCAAGAAGAGACATCTTGTGTCCTCTGCTGTATTCTGTAGGTGAGAACTAAGCCAGTACCTGCACTTGAGAAGAGGCAGGAACAGAATTACGAAGTTACTTCCGTAATCTGTTCTTTTTACACAGAACGCACAGATAAGGTATGCATTCTGAGACCCTTCCATTTGAGTTCTTAGCTTTCACGGCTCACCTGCCTATATAGATTCACATATTCTACATATTCAATCTATGTATTCACATCCTGTCCTCCTCCACAAAGATATCCACAGGATGTTCTCTCCCTTTGTACCTTTACCCAGAGTGAACCTCTTCCCTTTCCTTTCCCCCTTCTCTAAAAGAAGACGGGGTTCTCCTGGATTTGAGGCCACACTTAACCAGTACTGGGGGTGTGGAGTACTACTCCTGGCTCTGCCCTTGGGTGTCACTCCTGGTAAAGGTACTGGGGATCGGACTAGGGTGCCTTCACCTGTACTGTCTCTCCAGCCCCAATGCTCTTCTTGAAAACCTTCACATCCCACAAAACCGGTGACATGACCCCCACTTGTGACATGTCCTTAAGTTTTTCCACATGTGACATGCACCCAGGTTCTTGTAGGAGTTCCATACACTTTCCCTGCTGAATAAAACTGGCCCTTCCATGAACATCTTTCCTTCATGACTGATTTCAGGGAGGGGCAAGAAATTCGTGCCACCTTTTCAGGTTCATTGGCTGCCCAAATAATTAAAAAGACATTCAGCAGTAGGGCATTTGCCTTGCGCACAGCCAGCCTGGCTGAGCCAGGTTCGATTCCTCTGCCCCTCTTAGAGAGCCTGGTAAGCTACCAGGAGTATTCAGTATGCCAAACACAGTAACAAGAAGTCTCACAGTGGAGACGTTACTGGGCCCGCTCGAGCAAAATCAATGAACAACAGAAGGATAATGTTTGTTTGTAAGCTGATGAGAAAAAGAAATTTGAATTTGTATGTATGAAAAGCCTACAGAGACACGGGGTCCTGGACAGAGACATGTGTGGAGTTTAAATGCTATCCAAAGCAAACTCCTACTATACCATAGTGGCCAATGGGGATGGTGCACTATTTAGACAGCGAAGGGGAAACTCCAAGGTTCTTCCTGAGTTTTTGGGCCCTAAATGCCTGCAGCTTTGAGCTATCCACATGTCCAGTGCTATTGTTTGGTGCAATCTGTTTTTGCAGTGTTGAGGGGATTCTCCCTGCCATCTACATAGATGAAATGTTGCTAAGGCACCTGGAGAGTTAATGAGTGCCCAGGGGGCAACTTTGCATTTAGGAAGCTGTCCATGAAAATATTTTTTGGATTATGTTGCTCTCCTGCAGGAAAAAAGGAATGTCAAGCAACAGATTGCGGTGCCCACCTTATCCCTCCCCTAAGCAATTTTTTTATAGGGGTCATTCTGGGTGATTCTCAGCCCTGTTGTGTGGACCTGGTAGTTCAGTGTCAGGTGGGTGCTCAGAGATCAACAGGACTATAGTTGCAGGTGCTCAGGGGGCCATGAAATACCAAAGATTAAAGTTGTGGTTTTATATGTGTTCCGCATGTGCTCTACCACTTGAAGTATCTCCCTGGCCCTTCAAATATTCTTTTGTTAAATAACTCTATTTTATTTGACTTTTTTTGGGTTTGGGGGCCACACCCAGCAGTGCTCAGTGTTTATTCCTGGATTTCTGCTCAGAGATCACTTCTAGGGGTACTTGGGATTGAACCCATATTGGCCTAGTACAAGGACAAACTTTTTTTTTTTTTGCTTTTGGGTCGCAATGCTCAGGGGTTACTCCTGGCTCTGCACTCAGGAATTACTCCTGGTTGTCAGGGAACCATATGGGATGCTGGGAATCGAACCTGGGTCAGCCACGTGCAAGACAAACTCCCTATCCTCTATACTATCGCTCTAGTCCCCAAGGCCAATCTTATAGACTGTACTATCTTATAGACTGTACTATCTCTCTGGTTCTGAATGTAATTTTAATCTGTCACTGTCACTGTCCTCCCGTTGTTCATTGATTTGCTCGAGCGGGCCCAGTAACATTGTGAGACTTGTTACTGTGTTTGGCATATCAAATACATCACGAGTAGCTTGCCAGGCTTTGCTGTGCAGGTGAGATACTCTCGGTAGCTTGCCGGGCTCTCCAAGAGGGGCAGAGGAATCGAACTCTGGTTGGCCATGTTGGCTGCGTGCGTGCAAGGGGAACTCCATACCGGCTGTGCTATAACTCCAGCCCAATTTTAATCTATTTAATTTTAATATAACTCAAACCAGTCATGGATGCTATGCTCATCTATTGCTCTTCTTGATTAAATTGAGGTTCAGATGATTAAAATTGAATGGACTAATAGGTCTCTCTTTAAAGCAGCCTGTTAGCATGACGGGTTGTTGTTTGGCATGTAGTCCTATACTTGAGCAATTGTTTAAGGGGAAGTTCTGTTTCCCAGTGGTAAGGAAAGGGTTTAATTCTATTACCATTTGCCTGTTGTAGTAGGTTTTGGAACCTGGCATCAAAATTGTTTAGATGTCTAACACAGTGCCTCAGGTGAGTTCATGTGAAATATTAGAAGATAATTATATATTTCTAAATTAAATTATTCTATAACCTCTCAGAAAATTCTAAAGTATATTTAGTAAATATTGTTTTCTTGACTTTGGGAGGGCATAGCCAGAGGAGCTCTGGGACTATTCCTGGGTCAGAGTTCAGGGTGACACCTAGGAGTGCTGGAGGAATCACGTGTTGTTGGGGCTTGGACCAGGTCCCCTTTTGCATGTAAAGGCTGAACTCAGGTCTTAGCGGTCTCTTTGGTCCTGATTAAAGTTTTTGTTTGATTTTGGGCCACACCTGGT